TAGAAGCATGCTTGCAAGGGTTGCTTGTGTCTTCGGAGGGGGGGGGGGGAAATGCAGGGAGGTGGCACGTGGAGTCACCCTATTTAGTAATTAAAATGTTGGTACTGTCATGGGGGTTAGTGCACCTCCTGAGTGCTAGCACAAATCACCTGTCCATGGTTTGAAAGGGCTTTTGGTGGAGAAGGGGCAGGCACTGCCAATGCTAGTTTCCCTAGGGAGCATTAAGAGAAAGAGAAGTCAAATGAGGTGTTAGAAACAAGTTAATTTTTCCACACCAGCATGTCACGTAAAAAGAAAGCAAATGCAGACCACGCGTGCAGTGACACCCAGCATGAAAAAATATTGAGGTAACAAAGGGGTGACTAGGACACTGCTGGGAGCTTGAGGTTTCAAGGTTTCTCAGCTTTTGGGGAAGGACCTGACTTTTCTATGTGTCTGTACTAGTAACAATAAAACTGTGGTCTGAAGATGCTAGGATTATACAAACAATAAATGATAGCAATAGTAATGAATAAAGACTATATCAGCTATGTGATGTGCAGGGCTTTTACTGTGTAACTGCCACTATTACGAATGGTATTTCTCTTCAATGTTTTGCCAAACAATTCCTGTAATGCTAAAGCAATTATGAGGCTAGATGTCCAGTAGCTGCTGTCATATTGTTTCTTTTAGCTGGCTGGATGGAACCCCAGTAAACTATGTAGCCTGGGCCCCAAATGAACCCAACTTTGCAAATAATGATGAAAACTGTGTGGTCATGAACAAAGATTTTGGTAAGTAATGGGACAATAGTTATGGAATAGATATTTATGTTAATAAGGTGCCAAATTTGTGTAAAAATCCCTCCTCTTCTAATATTAAGAAATAAACAGATATATAGCATACAGTGATAGATTTTAATTACAAATGTGTAGGAAGTAAGACAATTGTAAGCCTCAATCCTTTGGGAAGGACAAATGTGAAGGAATGAGTTCTGATGGGCGTGGGGTAAAGTTGTTGCTCTCTATGGGTGTGTCTAGACTACAGAGTTCTGTCGACAGAAGGTGTTATTGCATCTAGGGTTGTGTCTAGACTACAGGGTTTTGTCGACAAAGCAGCTCGCTTTGTCGACAGAACTGAATGTAGTCTAGACGCTCTTTGTTGACAGAAGCTTTGTTGACATTATCTGTCGACAAAACTTCCGTCGACAAAAGCCTGTAGTCTAGACGTACCCTATGTCTCCAATGAAATCTCAATTCTGTTTAACTGACAAGGTCAGAGGCTCACCGTTCTGAGGGTGATACTAAAAATGTCAGTCTGAGAAACTGATTTTCTCTGTTTAACTTAATTTCAGGCTATTGGAATGACATAAGCTGTGGTATTCGAAATGCCTTTATCTGTGAAAGGCACAACCATTCTACTCATTCAGATTTTGCTCCAACAGCACGTTCTCCTCTGGGAGGATGCCCTGAAAACTGGCTTTTGTTTAATAATAAGGTACAGAGACAAACATCTACAGTATTTTGGGGGGATATTAAATATGGAACAAAGTAATTATTATTTTCTTATACATCTTTCTATGCAGCTTTAGACATGTTTCATTTTAAGTTGCATTTTTATAAGCTGGTTGGGGCCATTTTGGTGATGTCATACACATATTTAAACCTTTAATGAATTAATTTGGGCATTTTAAGTACCTTTAATAGTGGAGTTTTTTGTTTTTGTTTTTGCTTTTGTTGTTTTTTGGTTGTTGTTGTTTTGTTAGGCCTAAACCAGTTACCCTTCCTTTTTCTGCAATTTGTGTTTGTTTTATACAAGTTTAATGAATGAAAATACCAACTGTTCTTTTGCACAGAAAGCATAAACAATTTTCTGAATGAGGTTTAACTGGAAAAATACATTAGATCCACATTAAGTAAATAGCAGGACATCTAAAGTTGTCATCTTAAATATAATCAAACTGACTTGCTCAAGAGGTAAACAAATATTAAACCTTTTGGGGAAATAACTACATTGTTTCTTTGCTATGGTAAATTGAAATACACATGACCACAAGAACATGAAAAAAGGAACTACTCCTCCTATACAAAGGCAGAAAAAGAGGGAAGTGGCTAGTTTCATTAATAAAAATATACCTCTCTACTCAATCAGCTCTCAGATAAATCAGGATAATTTTTTGTACCAACATTATGAAAAGAGAATCATATCTTCTTGGTTCTATATATATAATCGCTGATTGAAAAACCTTCTCAATTTCTGTCCACCTAGGTCACTGCTCAAACTATGCCTGGTTAGGGAGTTTAGTTATTCATTAAACTTTATAAAAGATTGATTACCCAGTGGGTCAGAGCCTCAGCAAATGTAAATTGATACCACACCTTTCACTTCAAAGCAGGTATCTATTTGACACTAGCAGAAATTTTCACGAGAATCAGAGATCTGGAAAAGCAGAAATGGCAACAATGAGTACAACTGAGTAGTCCTGTGGCGCCTTAAAGACTAGAGTCTAGGAACTAGGATTTTTTTTCTGAAATAGACTTATACAGCTACCCCTCTGAAACACACTGTAGATGAAGTTTGCTCCAGAGCAGACCACTTTCTCATCCCTAAAACAAACCTGCTAGAAATACTCAAAGGTAAAATTCTCTGCTTATTCTTTTGCTACTCCAAACAGTACTTAGGTAATAATATTTTCAGGAAATCACTAGCATTTATAAATGTACCGTGTAAGTAACTTCAGTTTGGCTAACATTCAGAAAAAGAATGAACAGGAAAATGTCTTCAATAAGGAAGCAAACTATATGTTTCCTTTATTACAAGCTCCATTTGAACTGACCACAAAGCCTTTGTCTACACTTGCGACAGTGGTGTGCAGGGTACATGTGGCTATTTACCACAGTGGAAAGCAGGCTACAGCCACACTGCAGCATGTAGCTCACTGTGGCAATGAAAGGCTCTGGCAGAGGGGATTCTGGCAAGGGGAAGATGGGGGGAAATGCTGTGTCAGAAAGGAGGTGCTGCTGTTGGAGACACTCCCTGTGGCAGGGAACAGCTTCGTTGTCAGGAAAGCAGAGGGACAAAGGATACTACACTGGTATTTTTTTAAAGGCAGGTATTGATATGGGAGGCAGTGCTCAGGCAACCGGCTAGAGAGATGTGTGTTGTATATGCCATAAGGTTCTGGTGCATCCGTACTTACGTAAGCAGCGCCTGACCCGCTGCACTGCTGTTTGATACCCGTGAGATGCCAAGAGTCTGCTTTCTACACACCACTTGTCAGGGCAGACATAGCCAAAATGACTCCAGCAGACAACACATTCTTAGACCTTAAAGTACATATTAAAAACTCCAGCATTTTACATCATCAACAATATCGATAAATATCTAACTCTTAGGCTATGTCTAGACTACATAGAATTTTCAAAAGAGGATCTTTAGTGAAAGTAGCCTGGATGCATTTTTTCAGAAAAAAAACCCCTTTTTCGAAAAAAACGCGTAAACCTCCTTTTTTAAAGAAGAATGGGTTTTTTCTGAAAAAATGCATCCAGGCTACTTTCACTAAAGATCCTCTTTTGAAAATTCTATGTAGTCTAGACATAGCCTAGGAGTTAGATATTTATCGATGATGATGTAGAAAGCAAATTCTTGGCATCGCTTGGGTATCAATTGCAGTGCAGCGGGTGAGACGCTACTTAAGTAAGTATGGATGAACCAGAACCTTATGGCATATACCACACACAGCTCTCTAGCCAGTTGCCTGAGCACTGCCTCCCATATCAAAACCTGCCTTTAAAAAAATACCAGTGTAGTGTCCCTTGTCCCTCTGCTTTCGTGACAACGAAGCCTCTCTCGAAAGTGAGATTGGAAGAAATCCTCTTTCAAAAAGAAATGTAGTTTAGACATGCCCCTATATAGCTGTTTTCTTCAGTAGATCTCAAAACACATTAAAAAGGAAGTTAGTATCATCATCCCCATTATTACAGGTCAGAAAACTAAGGCCCAGAGAGATGAAATGATTTGCCCAAGGTCAACTAGCAAGCTAGGGGCAGAGCCAGGAATAGGACGTAGGGTTTTTAAATCCCTGTTCAATATTCTGTCCATTAGATCACAACTCCTTCTCAACTGACAAAAGAAAACCAGTAGGGTGCTGCCAAAACAAGTGGATTTAACTCAGTCTGCATCATGTTGTTTAGCTCCTTCTTTTCCTTTGGACACCGATTATTAAATTTCATCTTATTCTAAAATTATTGCCTAAACTCACTAATGAAGCTGGACCAGATATCATTAATCCAGGACAGTTCAGGCTTGGACATTCTGAGCCTGAGTCTACACTAGGGAGTTATTTTGAAATAACAAGCAGAGCGTCCACATTACCAAGCCCATTATTTTGAAATAAGGGGCTGGTTATTTGAAATAATAACTCCTGCTTTCCTTGGGGAATAAGCTTATTTTCAAATAGTTATTTCTGGAATTATAAATTATTTCAAATAAACTTATTTAATAAGTTATTTCAAAATAATTGCCTAGTATAGACATGCCAATTAGGAATTCATCCCTTCTAGCTCACCACTGAAATCAACATCCTTTATCAATAGACCTTCTATCATACATTCTTCTCCAAAACCCATCCTGGTTGGAAGTACTGCACACCCTGACACCTGTACCCCTTCTTATCTGGCATTTCAAACATTCGCCTAGCATGTGCTGTACGTCTAGACTACATGCCTCTGTCGCCAGAGGCATGTAGATTAGGCTACCAGGCATAGGAAAATGAAGCGGCGATTTAAATAATCGCTGTTTCATTTAAATTTACATGACTGCCACACTGAGCCGACAAACAGCTGATCAGCGTGGTAGTCTGGACGCGCGGGTGTCGACATCAAAGGCATTTGTCGACCACCCAGATAAACCTCATCCCAGGAGGCATACCTGGGTGGTCGACAAATGTCTTTGATGTCGACACCCATGCGTCCAGACTACCCCCCCCCGCCGACAAAAGCTGATCAGCTGTTTGTCGGCTCAGCGCGGCAGCCATGTAAATTTAAATGAAGCGGCGATTATTTAAATTGCCACTTCATTTTCTTATACCTGGTAGCCTAATCTACATGCCTCTGGCGACAGATAATATGTGTGTGTAGTAGGACTGTGTCAAATCTCATGATTTACATTTTCTTTGGTATTTAATAGTAAAATGTCTTTCTAATCCATTTCCTCCCACAGTGTTATAAAATATTTGGGTCCGGTGAAACAGAGAGACTGTCTTGGCATGCTGCCCGAAGCACTTGCATAAAATTAGGAGGAAACCTAGCTTCAATACATAATGAACAAGTGCAAGGTATAATATCTGGTATCTTAACTACTAGATGAGACGTCAAGTCATTTGTAACTCATTTCTAAACGTGGGCGAAAACTATAATAAAACTCCAGTAAAGCATGCTATTTTTGTCACTAATAATTTATATATAAAAAGTAATTAAAATGACTTTGAGAAAAATACATCATATCTACCTAACTTAAAGTTCTGTTCTAGTATGCATTACCATAGTACTTGACTGCCTTGCTTAACACACTATGCATAGGGTGCTGAACTCCTCGGGGATGGGAGATACATATTACCTATGTTGTTGCTGTATTATTATTGTAGGCTCTCCGAAGGAGCTGTGATTAGAGTTTTTATACTAAAAATCTTGACTTGTATTATTCTTAACTGAATCCTCCTAACTCTTTTACGTTACTATTTGTGTATCAGACATTTCTTTCAATATCACCATCAGACACTAAATTTTGAGTTATAAAATGTGGAATTTGCAAGGTTTTTAAAATTCAATATTTGAGCAAGAATTTCATGTTCATTATTATTTTTCCCTGGGTCCAAGTTTTGGACATGCTGGCAGGGAATCCCCTTTTGTAAAACATGTACCTCTGGGGTTTTTTTGCAGCCTTCCTCACCTTCCATTTAAAGGATGTCATGGCTGAAACCTGGATTGGACTGAATGATATTAAGGAGGAGCACCATTATCTTTGGACAGATGGGAGTTTATTTGACTATTCAAAGTGGGCCACAAATTTCCCATTTAGAGATCGTTATACGGTTGTGGAGTGGACATATATTACATTGGAGGTAAACAGAACAAATATGATGAAACCACAGTTACTTGTGGAGCAGAGTCAAGCTTTATGCAAACTGTTCAACTTCCTTCTTATTTAAGACCCTTTCATTCAACGTAAACACCAAGTGCTGTGAAAGGCGATACTGCAAGAAGAGGGTTCAGATTTTTTATATTGTGTCTGTGTACCAGCAGTTCTGATTAAAAATCTTTTTTTTTCAGAAATCAAGAACTATACAAGCATGATACTTTGAGAGTATTTTTTTAAACTTTGCATTATTGTATCTTATGCTAAAGGATACATGGTAATAGCATAATAGTCTGGGTGCATTGTAAGGGCTTTGTAGCACTTGACAAATGCTTTTGAACCAATCAAATTCAAGTCCTGAAGTACAATTTGCTTGTTAAAAAAAATTATATTTAACCTGCCTTCGCCCAAAATTGTAAATACTTGTTTCCTTTTCTTAAGAAAATAATTTTATGTGCAATATGTTACTGGATCAAAAATTAGTGCAGAAAAAGACTTATTAGACCTGGTTATTAATAAATGACCTCTGTGGGAGTTTTGCCATAATTTTCTTTCACTTTACTAATTCATATATCCTGTGTCTCTAGACTGACTGTATTGCAATGATGAAGAAATCTATAGAAGAGGAAGGGTACTGGGGAAACAATGACTGTCAGCAGAACAATAGTTATATATGCCAGATGGACAGCAGTGAGTTTATTTTATCAGCCTGCTAAGTTAAAGCAATGTAATAACCCTTCTGAGTCCTAGAGTTCCTTGTTTACGTAGATTCAGTAGCTGCCAGTACCTCAAGCATCTGGTGCCAATAAGCTGCATCTTCTGTCAGAAGCGTGTAACATTTTTGGGTATCCATCTTGAGACCCCTCAAAAGGATGTGATTTTGACTGGGGTTGTTGTCAGCACTTTCTGAAAATCAGAACCATTGAAGAGGTCTCAAGTTGAACACCCTAAAACTGAAGGATTTACAATCACCTCTGAAAAGCTTGTCCTGGGAAAATAGGCCAAAAGGCTTAACTATAATAAAAGCTAATAAGCAATTACTGGTTTCATAATATTGAAATGCCATACCATTGGTTATGACACTGTTGGACTTGTGTGCTGCGATTACAAAAAAATTGCTGCATTTTAACTGGTACTACATGGCAAGGTACAATGTCTAGGGGATTGTCTTTATTACCAGAAAGATGGATGCTGCTGCAATCAATGTGATAGGTGTTGAATTAGTGGGTCAAGTGAAGAAATGCTAAATTGATGGCAGAGTCTGGTCAACTCCAGTCCTCCAGCTCCCTGAGAAGAGTGGGGTAAGTTGACTGGAGAGCATCTCCCATTGAAACAGTGCAGTGCAGACACTTAGGCTGTGTCCAGACTCAGGGGTTTTTTCGGGAAAAGTAGCCTTTTTCCGAAAAAACTTCACCTGCGTCTAGACTGCAGCCGCGTTCTTTCGAAATTAAATCGAAAGAACGCGGCTTTTCTTTCGACGGCGGTAAACCTCATTTCACGAGGAAGAACGCCTTCTTTCGAAAGTGCTTCTTTCGAAAGAAGGCGTTCTTGAATGTAAATAGGGCTTCTTCGAAAGAGAGCATCCAGACTCACTGGGTGCTTTCTTTCGAAAAAGCGGCTTGCTCTTTCGAAAGTTCCGCGTGCAGTCTAGACGCTCTCTTTCGAAAGAGGCTCTTTCTAGACGCTCTCTTTCGAAAGAGCCTCTTTCGAAAGAGGCTTGCAGTCTAGACATAGCCTTAGGTAAATAGACCTAAGCTATGCCAACTCCAGCTACATTATTCATATAGCTGGAGTGACATAACATATGTCAGCTTACCCCAGTAAAGTAGATAAGTCCTTGTAACTTCTCTAGAAAACTCTACTTCTGTATCTCATGTCCGCAGTTGTTTTTTGTTTCCTTGTTTTTTTCTAGTCTTGAGCCTCTCATGAGCTGATATATGCACTTGTACATAATTCTGTGGTGGATTTCTATGCACTTATTTAATTTAAAAGAACATCATAAATACCCCTCTCAGCCTCTACAATGCTGGCTAATATATAAAAAAACAAGTCCAACAATAACTTCCACAATATAGAGAATAACTAACAAAACTGATCCCCTTAAGAATCATTACTAGAGAAAAAGTGACTATTGGGGATCAAGTTAAGGACATGATAATAGATTATTCTACTCATCTAGGTCTGTGAGGACTTCATGCAATTTGGCTATCATTACCCAAATAGGGCAAAGCTCACCACCCAATTTTCCTCCAGTACTGCGGAGTAGCAAGTGGATGGAGAACAGTTGCACCAAATCTCATTTATGCTTAGAGAGTCCAGAGGAAAAGGAAATGTGTGGATAGTAGTGCAGGAAATGCTAGTCGCAGCTTAATAGAAGCCTGGGTGCCACAGCTGGTACTACTGGAAGAACAGAAGTTTGGATCAGATCCACTGCTCCCATGGCAGGGAATCTCTGGCGGGCATAAAGCATTCCCCAGTTGTTGTTAAAACTGTGTAAGCACAAAGACAGCAGCTTTAAGCCATTTTTGCCCTATCTTTTCAGACCTGCCCTGAGCACAGCTTAGCCAAGGTATTTGTGTATTATTTCTGTATACATACCATCTGAGGAAGAACCCTGGTTTGGTTTTGTTTGTACCTCAGACTTCTTCAATTATATTAAACTCAGGAAAGTGAAAAATGAATATTTTCTTGTTTGTTTTGCACATTGTTAGGCAGCAATATTCTCCCCCCAACTGTAATAATATTTTGAGGATTTAAGTGCTGTCTGTTCAGGGTGAATTTCTCAGTTGGTTAGAGAGACTGTGACAAGCACCCACCTCATTTTCACTTGTGACCTGTGCGAGGCATGGATTCATAGTTCTAGATTTGACAAGCAAACATGATTCAGTGTCCCACTAATCATTCAAACACAAGGTTTATAGTTCATTGGGTTGCATGTGAGGAATGATTTTTAGACATGTTGGTGTCTTCAGACATTGGCTGTCCCACTTAATTTGTAATGCTGATTTTATTCATGGTGCAATGGTACAACTAACCAGGCATGCCAACTTTTTCTTTGCTTTTTTTTCTTCCAAAACAGACCCTGATTTATTTCGTTCCCCAGCAATTCCAGCCTCAGACATAATTCATTATGGTAACTGTAGCTATTCAATCATCCACTCCAAAATGAATTGGGAAGAGGCACGAAACAACTGCAAGAAAAAATCTTTAGAACTTGCTAGCATTTTGGATCACTATAGTGCTTTATTCCTGTGGTTATACGTGTTGCAGTTTGGAGAGCCAGCATGGATTGGTCTCAACAGCAATGTGGTAAGAACACAAAACAGAAGGGAGGTTTGAATAGTAAGCTGCTACTCCAAACAGAGCTTGAACTTTCTATTCAATTTTGACCTCATCCACTTTATAGGGCTTTGATGGTCTTAAACTGAGCATCAGTTTGTGTAGGAAACTCTTCATTGACAATGTCCTTCAAAGGTATTCTGAGGTGCACCTAGAGGAGTGGGGAGGTCACAGTAGGAGACACAAGTAGTGATTGGAGAAAAGGAGCAATGGAGATGGGGTAAGGAAAGCTGATCAGCAGTTGGAGGGGAAGTCTAGGAAAGGGTGTTCAGACAGTACAGGGAAAACTGTTGCAAATGGAAGAAGAAAATTATTTTCTGTTTCTGAGGAGGCTGCTATTTGATCGATATTTCACTGCTTGATGGTTGTTTATCCTAGCAATTGTAGCTGTGGTGGGTGTAAATTCTGCTGGCAAAGACATACATGTTCACTGTGGATCGGCAGAGGGTACATGGTGCTTGTGGAACATTTTTCTTCTCTTTGATTTTCAGTCTGTAGCAGTTTTTTCAACAACAGGGTTTGGGAATATTAAGTATGGAAACTTTCTGTATCCTTAATTAAATCTTGAGTTTACTAGTATTGACTAGACCTTTTCCTCCTGATTTTATCCTTCCCTGGAATCCTTCTAAATTCTGTTTAGTTCCCTTTTCCATGCTTTCAATTTCCTTCATGCTCTTAATCAACGTAATTTCTTTGCAGAAACCGCCAGCACCCTGCACTTTTCCTGTCAGTGTCCCATCCTAAACCAAAACTTCCCAGATCCCTGAAGTGAGCGCTACCTTCCAGGTTTTGTCTCTAGCTGGTTGACCTCTAGCTAAGTCATATACAGTTTTGGTAGTCATATCATGTCTCGTAGTCATTTATCTTGCAACCTGCTCTTCCATAACGGGCTGAATCACATTAACACGCAGGTGGCCTACCTTTCCGTTAAAGACAGCAAGGTATTTTAATGTTTAAGCAGCTTTGGAATGACCTCAGTAGAAAAGACTTAGATGAAGCAGACCATGCTTGCACAGATACAGATACTGTGCCTACGTGACCAATTTTGGATAGTTTTGGGTTGGAAATCACTTCAGTATTAAATGCACGGGGAGTGAAATGTTATTATCCATATTGTATGAATAAAGGGCAGCAGAGCAGCACTTAGTATGCCCTGATGTAGAGAGTCACCCTAAATTAAATCTCATTGGCTAAGCAGGAGGTAAGGATCCCAAATACTAATGAGGATGCACATTGCTGAGGACAGGTGTTCTAGATGGCAATATGAGCTCTACCCACATACCATTTCATCTTCCCCTCTCCAGCACTTAAAGACAGAGCTGATTACACTCAAATGACAATCCCTTTTTGCTGCTTGGTGATTCCATGAGCTGACATTACTGCTGAACAGATCTAAGGGCTACACTTTAGATGCTGTGTGGAGACAGTCTTGTAGTAAAAGACAACTCAGAAACTGCACTATCAGTGAGGTTCCCCACTCACTGCTAAAATCACTAAAAGATAGGTTACAGAGTTTGATAGCAGAGATGCAACCATGGTAGGCAGACAGTGGTGGCCAGTGGTAATAGATAGCAGCGGTCAGTGTCAGCAGACAGAGACTGCAGCAGCAAAGACATTGCTTAAAACCTCCACCAGTCCCCAAAGCACCTTAGAACTCTGGGTCTTTGCAATCCAGAGACTGCCAGCTGTGAATGGGGGGGGGGCACCCAGATGGACAGGGGAGAGGTACATTAAGAGCAGTGCTTACTTTGTGTTGGGTTTTGCCATGGCTGAGCCCCGCACCTCAAAGCTTGGCCGTTCATGGCCCCAGCATCTCTAGGCTTGCTCCATCTCTTACGAATGTAAAAAAATTGCTTGAGCATCTCTTCCATTACAATCAAGCACTGGATAAGGGATATTTGTTTGCCCTACTTTCACACCACCAGGGGAGAGACTAAAGGACACAGCCCAACAGTCAGTGAGGTGGGTGTTGGTTTAGGGTCATGTACTTTTGAATCATAATTGAGGTGTTCTCCCAAATTAATGCTTTCCTTTCCTTTTTAATACAAACTTTATTTTATTGTACATGGAGTCAGCGTTTGCATGTGATGCAGGCTGCAGACAGCCATTTCAAGCCCTAGGGCAGAACTGTCAATGCTCCCTCATCCTGGCATGAACAAGCTGCACTCCGTGGACCTGGTCCACCTGAGATTTAAGTAGCGCTGCACTTGTGCTGGCTGGCATCCAGTGAGCTGCCAGCTGTACAATTGGGTCCACTCTGCTGGCATGGCCAGGGCTTCCATGAGTTCCCCCCACCCCCCGGTAGAGTTGCCAACTGTCTCACTGCATGACCCCAAAGACCCTTACTATGCCCCTGCCACACCCCTTCCCTGATGCCCCTCTTCCACCCTTTCTCCAAGACTCTGGTCCCACTCAGTCCAACCCCCTCTCTCCGCCCTCTCTCGTCTCTACTCTTACTAGCTTTCCCCAGAAGAAGGTCTGGGGTGAGGCTCTGGGAAGGACTTGGGGTCTGGAAAGGGTGCAGCATTGGGGTCTGGAGAAGAGTTTGTGTGTGGAACAGGGGTGTGGGGTTGGGCCCTGGGAGGGAATTTGGATGCAAAAGAATTGCAAGGACAGGCTCTAGGTAGAAGTTTGAGTGCAGGCTCTAGGCTAGGGCAAGGCTTGGGGTGCAAGATGAGATCAGGGAACAGAACTTACCTCAGGCAATTCCAGAAAATAACCAGCACACCCTTTTGGCACCAACTCTTAAGTGAGGGGCTAGAGGGTCTCCACATATAGTTGCCCACAGGTACCACCCCCTTCCATTGGCTGCATGTCCGGGCCAGTAGGAGCCGTAAAGACACCCCCATCCTGGGAACCCCGGGACAGTGCTGGACACGTCCCGG